GAATGAGAACTAACGAACTGTCATTCTCTTGTCTAGACACTCTAACCAGCCGCTAGTGTCATTTTCTCAGGAGCTGTGGAATAGTAGCACACATCATCACCCGTGAACGGAGCTCCTCTTTTCATTTTTTATTTTTGGAAACTTTATTTTATAATAATTGCCAGGGTGTGGAGGCTTCCGTCTCTTCAGGAAATAAAAACTGTCTAGTTGACGCTTCAGCTTGGCGGCCTTCTTTGAGAGAAATGTATCCGTGTTAGGCTCCTGCCAATGGATCGCCAGTTGGGGGCGGGGAGACATCAGACGCAATTCATGGAGGACACTTTTTCCACGGAGCCCTGCATTTTCCACTGACTGCAGCTGGGGAGTCAACAGTTGGCCTCAGCCAGGCTCCTTCCTGGGAAACTGCAGCTCCTGCGTTTGGAGAGCACATTTTGAAACCGCACTGCATCACTTTCGCCGCTTCTGATCCTGTGTCTCCTTTTGAATTAAAGGACACATTTTCCCCTTTCTCTTCTTCCCTCCACCTCCCCTTTATTGTATGGAGATATTAATATGCTTCATAATGGGGAGCTGTAGGGGGTTTTTTCTCTGAGAGGTACAGTCTGTTAGAATGTTCTAGAATAGAAGTGTAAGAAGCTAGCTTTCCCCTCTATCATTAACTCCTTGGTGACTTTGAAACTGTCTCTCTGTGAACATTCCTTTCCAGAAGCCTTGTGTGAGTCTTCACCATAGCCTTGAAAAACGTGAATGTTTTAAAGCATAACCACCTCATTCCTCCCCTCCCAAATGCTTAGATATTTGGGGTTCTCTCCTTTTGTAAAAAAAAGAAAAAAAAATATATATATATACACATACACACATGCATATATATATGGCTGTTTGGTTATTTTCTACCTTATAGAAACCTCATCGGGGGGAGCTGCTCTTTTTTTCCCCCCCACAGAGAAGGATGAGCATAAAGGAAATTTTATAAATAGGATTTTGTGGAGTGGAAAAAGTTGGTCCCTAAATTTCCCAGGAGGCGTGGGCAGTTAGGGGGGAAATGGGATGATCATTTCAAATCTTGCTATACTTGGGCTCCTAATGAGCTTGAATGATTTGTGATTCTCTCCCGTCATATGTACTCAGATTTCTTCCATTCTGAAAAAAGATAAAAACAAGAAACACACATCGATCATTTCCTTCAGCTGGTTCTTCATCACTGGGGAAGGCTTCATTGTCAGCAGCTTCTTCTGCACGTGTGCTGGGCACCAAGCATCACTTCCAGGGCCTTGTCTGGTGGGTGGTCTCGTCCAGCTGAAGAAGGGAGAAGAACTTCAGTGATGTGCTAAAGGACATGCAGCAAAGCCCAGGTCCCAAACTGTCGTCCTTTTTCTAGAAATCTTCTAGCGTCTCCTGTGCCCCATTTCTCACAGTTATCTTCCACTAAAGAATTTACCCTACCACCCGTTCATTGGACAAACTGTGTCCAGGGCTTGAGGGAGGTTGCTCCATGGCAACTGCAGTCAGACTCCACGTCCTACGCATAACCAACTGTGCCGCCCTGTCCCTGGGCCCTGGATCCTGCTACCCACCGTGGCAGAAGATAAGTCCAGTATTTGGTTGCTGGGTGGACGAAAAACCTCATTCCAAAAACTTAGCGTTAGCCTCTGCTTAAGCTCATTAAGAACGCCTGCCAACCCTAAAGGACAAACATGGGAGAACTGCCTTCCTGTGACCCTTCTTATCTCCCAGAAGCCTTCTGTCCCGGAACTTCCCACCAGGTGTCCAGCCCCGTGGTTAGTAGACTGAGACACTGTATCTTGATCCTAGACTCCTCCTGGGACCCTGAGCTGGGCCATCTCCCCGTAGCTTTCCTACCTCTCTCCTCCTCCTCCAAGGGGAGATGGGGTGCAGATCTGCGCATGTGGTCTTGGGCAAGTCCTGATTCTCTGTGCCTCATCTTCCTCCCACACTGAAACGGGACTGGGGTCCCTCCCTCACGTGTACTTATAAGGATTACAAGACCTTGGGACAGGAAAGATGGATAGTGCCCAAGAAATACCCACAGAATCCAAAATCTCTTAAAGCATTTCCTGTCTGCTGCAGATAATATGGGCCGTCCCTTCTCCGCTCTGACTGCAGACAACGTAATCAACTGGATTTGGCAGTATTGCCGGGGAGGATGGGTTACCTTGAAAAGGGGATAAATGAAGAATTCTCCCTGGTAAATTACGGCTTCTGCTAAAGGTTTGACACTTCTATTTTCTTCCTGTCACAGGAGAAAAAAAAAAACCAAACAAACTGTATACCAATGGTCAGCTCAGTTTTCATTTTTATCCTTCATTAACCCATGGAGCAAGCCAGGCAGCACTCCATCCTTCCAAGAAGCAGGAAGCAGTCCTGTGGACACTGATGTGACCACTAGGAAAAGGCTATGGGCTTTTCGTAATGAAGCTTTGGAAATTAGCAGCGTCCATTGACAGGGTGACTCAAGAGAGTAGAGCATTGTCCCTAGCAGAACCCAATAGAGATAGCCATCTTGGTGACAAGTGACGTGAAAAGCTCCGCGTCTACTGACATGTTGTTACTGAGACTCAATAACTCTGTGCTGACGTGCTTTGAAGTCTGCCATGGCAGCTTGTGATTGAAATATGGAGCAGGATGTGAGCTGATGGTCTGGAAAATGCAGGCACATGAGAAGAAAGGAGGGGAGAGAGGAGAAAGCAAGTGTGCCAGGGCAGGGAAGCAATGGCCTCATCCAGGCACCATGCTGGGCATACTCACAGCCACCGTGGTTGAGGGGTAGACCTGAATTTAGAGAGGGACCTCTGGGTGCCAATCATGCTTGCCAAGCAAAACCTCACCTGTCTGGCACCTATGGGAACTGTTCACACAGGGGATGATGACGAATGGGCAATCAGAGGAGCACTTTATCATCAGCCGGGATCATGGATGTTTTATATCAGGATCTGAGTGAAAGGAGCATCAGAGGTATCCACGATCCTCCTGGCTCCAGATGATCGGGGACCAGGCTCGAGGCATGATGTAGAAGGGCCTCTCCGGTGGGGAGGGCCAGGCCTGTGTTTTCTACTCTGCAAGTCTGGGCCTGTGTGTGGTTGCCTGGGAGCTTGTACCAAACTATCAGGTGACAAAGTAAAAGAGAGGCAAAGTAGAGAACCATCAAGCCCTTTGTCCTCATGTCTAGTCTCAGGGATTCTGTTTGGTGAGATCCAGGAGGCTCCCAAACTACAGGGGTGGCTTCATCTGCTTCAAATTACCAGGTCATTTGAATGTGACACAGACCGCTGGAGACGGCAGGATCCATACCCTGGATATAATCAATAAGAAGATAAAGGCATACATAGGAATAGTCCTTGACGATGGAGTTCCTGAGGCTGGGGTGTGGCTCAGCTGGTAAAATACTTGCCTAGCATGGATGAGACCCTGGATTCCATGCCCAGCACCACTTAAAAAAACAAACAAGTGGCAGGTGTGGTAGCCCATGCCTTTAATCCCAGCACTTGGGGAGGCAGAGGCAAGTGGATCTCTATGAGTTTGAGGCCAGCCTCATCTACAAGGTGAGTCCAGGACAGCCAGGGCTCTGTTACAGAGAAACCCTGTCTCCAAACAAACAAACAAACAAACAAAGCAAAAACAGACAACAACAAAAACAGCTGTACGGCTGCAGCACTCGGCACTCTCCTGGACAGAACAGAAGAGCAGGCTTTGGTTGAGGAGTCCGGGTGAGCTGCCCCCAACAGTGTGAGCAGAAGAGCTGGCTCTGGCAGTGTGCACACAGGCGAGCTGGCAGACTGACCAACTCAGCTTCCACCCAGGCCCAGATCCAGGGCTCTGAGTTGGCCCACCCTGACACCCACCCCATCTATGAACTGCTGGAGCCCATGAAGGAGCTGGTCCTGCAGACCCAAAAGCAACACGACACAGGGCCACAACAGGATATCTGAGAAGAGTCCCAGTGAGGATACAATACTGATGGTGCAGCAGAAGCCAGAGGCCTGGAACCTGACCTATGACCCATTGCAATGAACATTTGCAGGCAGAAGGGTGCACTGTGTGGCTCACTGTGACATACCATAGCTTCCACAAGATGTTTTGTTCGCTTGCTCTGTTTTTCATTTGTTCTGGGGGAAGTTGCAGGGCAGAGGATGGTATGAGGTACAAGGAGCTGAGTGGGATGGGGGTGTATGATGTGAAGTTCACAAAGATTCAATAAAAAGTTAAAAATAAATAAATAAACAAAACAAAAACAAACAAAAAGCAGGTGTAATCCCAGCACTCAAGAGGTGGAGTCAGGAGGAGCATCCTCAGCCATACAGTACATTTGAGGCTAGCCTGGGCTATATAAGACCCTATTGTAAAAACAAAAATTAAAATAAGAAGAAAAAAAAAAGAGAGTGAGTCTTGCTTCCCTTTGGGAGTAGGCGGGGTCTTCCAGGCTGTATGAGGTCCAGCTAACACAAGAAAAACACTAAAGTCCCCCAGGCCAGAAAGGTGAGTGGCTTGGTGTGGTTCTCAGTGGCAGAGCCAGGATTCGGCTCAAGAACGGCTGTCTCCACAGCCTTGCTCTCTACAGGCTACTCGTTAGCCCCTAACTAAAGCCATGGCGTCATTCTCCAGTTCCCACTTGCAACCTTCTCTCCACTGTTCCTCTGCTGACCTCATGGCCTGGGGAAAGACATGTTCTCCATTGGAGCAGCTGGAGTGGCTTCAGCAACAGAAGCCGGCTTCCCACAGTCTGGAGGCCAGAGCTGAAGTGCTCGCACGGAAGAGCTTGCTCCTGGCTTGCTCAAGGCTGCTTTCTTTCTCAGTGGTGAGAAGCAGGGAGGCAAGTATAAGCACTCCTCCCCTTAGAGTCTAATTGGTCTGCTAGGGCCCTACCAATGTGACCTCTTATGGATTTTCTGGGGGCACAAATGTTCACTCTGCATCGGCTTGAAGGAAAGAGAGAGCCGAAGTGTCCACCATGGAGTAACACGTCTTCTTCCTTGTCACGGCAGGAACTGCAAGTTGAGTAGCAGCAGCCTGTCCATGGCCGCTGTGGACATCCTCTACATTGACATCACAAGGAGGTGGAACTCCATGACCCTCAACCAGCAGCGGGAGTCAGGTACTCAATGGCTGTCTTGCCTGACAGACATGGGAAGGGCTCTGTGTATCTTCTGTTCTTTCATGTTCTGGAGAAGAAAGATGAATTGAGTGGAATCTGAACCTCAAGGTACTGTCTGCTACCAAGGCCGTGCGACCCAGCCCCACATTCCAAGGTCACCATTAGCCTCCCTTTTCTTTGCTTAAAGCTTTGATTTCATCGTCACCGGAGGCAGACCAATGCTCGCTTATTCCTTTGTGGCCTGGCATGTTTGGTGAGCACAAGCAGCCAGGCCCTGGGTACACTAGAGAGGTTGGCTCTTGCCTGGAGGGAACTCTGTGGAGCTGAGACACATGTGAAAAACGGTGCCATCATAGCAGGGGTGAGCTAGGATGGAGGTGTCCCTCTTCCCAGGAGGACACCGCAGACCTCTTGAGGAAGAACCCAGCGACCAGGGTGAGGATGGATCTGGGCAGGTGTATGGGCCTGCCTACACATGAACACATGAAAAAGGCCATTGAGCCCAGGCTACCCCAACCAGCTCCAATGAAGTGCAACAAAATGGGTAAGGAGACTGGGTTGTGATAGACATTGAATGTCACACCAAAGACTTGAACTGTGGTAGCCCATGCTTGTTCTTTGTTTGTTTTTAATTCTTCTATAGGAGAATTTACCTTTGAGTGGATGATTTTTCCCCTCTATCCTCTGAGCAGCCTAATAAGCTGACATTCACACAGCTCATCACAAAACTGCAACGTCTCATTAAGTGTCCCTGTGACCCAGCACAGGAGGTATTAGAACCTCATTTCACAGACAGTAAACTGTAGCGCCAGTGCCTGAGGTTGCGCAGTGACCGAGAGCCGGGTGCGTGCTGGCACCGTCCTCCCCTGCCCCCTGCTGTGCTGTCACACACACACACCCCAACACACGAAAGGGCCACGCCTGCTGAGGCTGCAGGGAGGAGGCCTGAAGTCAAAGCTAAAGGATCTAGCGAGAAGTGGCTCTGCCATCATCCTGTGCCGACATCAGCCTCAGAGCCAGGTCACCCTTCTTTGAGCCCCCCTGAGGGCTCATACATTAGGAGCTAATAATGCCGTGGGGGGGTCACTGCCAACCACTCAGGGTGGCTGATCTTATTAGTGGACTCTTTCTGTCTTACTGCTCAAGGAGACTCTCAGGCAAGGCCATATGACTGCCCTGCATCCCCTTGTGGGCTAGAAATGCCAGCCACAAGGACACAGCCAGCCCATCTTGCATAGTGCTGACTCAGAAATCTTTGCTGTTCGGCTTCCTGTTTGATAATGATGCCGCCTGATTCCGTGCGTTGGCTGTTGTCTCTATGCCAAGCACTGCCCCATGCTTTCCACGTGTGGTGCCGGCAGATCTGAGGGTGTCCATTGTACAGAGGGGGAAACTGAGGCTCAGAGGCACGAATGGTAGACACTAATACTCAACCATCAGCCCACCTGGGCTTCCTGTCTGGGTCACTTCCTCCTACCCATCGCTGTGTTGTGGGGGAGGTGGTGTTAAGATAGCTGGACTGCCTGCTGCTCCCTTTAATTCAAAAGCAAAAGTCAGGGAATTCTGACAGTCATTGAATCAAGCAGGTGAGAGTAGCCTGCAGCTGGCGCGGCCTTCCAGCCTCCCTGGCAAGAGAGGAGGAGGGCACACCTGCAGGACATGTAATTATCATTTCAGGGACCACGTGAGCCCAGGTGACTGTTGAGCTGTATGACATTTTGCTGACAAGCTCAGAAAGGGAAATAATGCTTGCTCCCTGAGCCTAATGCGGGGTGTCATTGCAGGATCCGGGGGGGGGGGTGGCAGATGAGTGGGTGGGGGTGGCATGGAATTATTAAATATTGAAATTGATCAGGAGTTGCAGCAGGAAGCTATTTATCATGTTCCGTTGCTTCCAACCAGCATTACCATCTGGCCCATTGTTCATCCGGAATAGCTTTGCATGTTTTTGTTTGCTTCTAAAATCACTGCCTGTAAGCAGAATCCACGGAGGGAGGGGCGAGGGGGGCCACAATATCAGCTCTGCAGAGGGCTTCTGGGGTCTGCCAGGGTCTCTCTACTTTGCTGAGCAAGCCAAGAAAACAGGAGATATTCTTATATTTAGCACAAGCGAGGCCGGGACCGGGATTTCCCAGACTTGTGCATCTGTCTGTGCCCCAAGGTATGGAGCAGTAGCTATAGGTCATTTAGAGAGTGCTCCGCAAGCCTACCATGGCTGCTTCTCACAGCTTTGAGTTGCAAGGTCAGATGAGGACCTGAGTTCCAAGAGCTGCCTGGCCCCAAGTACTGTCTGCTTCCCTGTGTGACTGGGAGGGGACAGGGCTTGTGTGGCAGCAGTCAGAGGTGACTCGGAGGCAGGGAGGTGTGCTGACAATGCCACTGTGTGTTTCAAAGAGCTGGGAGAGGGGACCGCGCAGTCCTCGTAATAGATAAATGACGTCTTTAAGATTGCTGAGATCTAATTACCCGGATGTGATGTCACGTGTGCTTACATGTATTGAACATCATGCTGTGTTCTATAAATATGTGTAAATATTATACGTCGAGCTCGTTTACTTCTGAAAAGTTACTCACCCAGCATGGAGCTCGTCGGAGACACAACTAGACGGTGTGTGTTAGTTGTGTTTCTCCAGGATCCTGTCTCCCCTACCCTCATCCTTGTTGCTGGAGAGAAATGGCAGGAACTGGGGGCCTAGGAAACATGTTGGGCCAGGAGTGGAAGCCAATCTGTCCTGGTGGAAAACCCTGTTTTCTCCCAGCTGCTGCCACCTCCCTCTCAAGGCTGGGCCAGCCGGCACCCCTGACCCTGAAAAAGAAAAGGCATCTGAAGCCAGCGGCCTTACAAGGACCATTCAGGACAATCCCAGAGAACAGCAGAAATCTGTGCTTGGGTGTGGCTCTTGCTTTTGGCAGAAAGCAGTAGAAATATAAGAGAGTGAGTGAGTCTTTCTATCTGCACTTCCTTTCTTCCTTCCTCCCTCCTACTCTCCCTCTCTCCCTCAGTTCCCTTTTCTCTGCCTCTCCCTTTCTTCCCTCTTCCTCTCTCTGTCTCTCTGTCTCTCTCTGTCTCTCCTTCCCATCTGTCTATCCCTTTGTTTCCTTCCCCTTCCTTCCTGGTGTGGAGCAAGGAATCTTCAGGCCTCCATTCCAGGCATATGCTGGCCAATGTGCATCTGTATGAGTCTGCATGTCTGTGTCATTATAAGGTGTGTCTATGTGTCTCTGCATATGTACCTCTGTGTGTGTGTGTGTGTGTGTCTATGTGTCCCTACTAGGTTTTAATAAGTTGACAAACTGAAATTAAGGATACAGCATACTCAAAACAGAGGCTTATGAGTGGGAAAAGCACAGCCCATAGAAGCAGGTCCTTATTGACCGTCTTGCTCTTCTCCCCTGAATGTCCGGTGTGACACACCAGCCCAGTTGCCTAGGACTACCATCCGCCCCTGCACCCACTGTGCTATCAGACCCTCCCTTTCCCCCAAACCCAGCCAGACCTGATGAGACTGTGCTCAGTAAAGGGTGTGAGCCAGCGGCATCCCCGGCACTTGAGGCTGTGTAAACAAAGGTAGCCTAGGAGACTTCGCTGCCGAGGAGAAAGCCAGTGCTAGGAACGTGGCTTAGGAGAAAGCCAAAAGTAGTGCGAAAAACCGCTCACATGAGGAAATGCAGTAACCCTCAAGCCAGCCTCTCCAACAGCCTCAGTCCGGACCGTGGGCTTCGCTTCTGTTGGGCCTCTGGTGAGTGGCAGTGGCCTCAGCAATGTCCTTGGATACTGAGTCACTTCCACCATGTCTGTGCCCAGCCTGCCCTTCCCTGGCCTTTGCAACAGCTGTTAGCAGCTGTGCAGGTGTGTGTTCTGTGTGGGGTGGGTAGGAGGAAGTGGCCTCCTGCGTACATGAGTGTGGAGGGCAGAGGAAAAACCTCAGTCATTCTTCAAGTAGCTTCCACCTTGATTTTCAAAGTAGGGTTTGCCTGGACGTCACTGAGTAGGTTGGGCCAAGCTGGCCAGGGTCCCCTAGGTATCTGCCAACCCCTTTCTCCCCAGCACTGGGATTACCACCGCCTGGTAAGTTTTTTGTTCATTTGAGATGCATTCCGCAGGCTCAAACTCTAGTGCTCATGCTTGCGAAGCAAACATTCTCCTGACTGAGCGATCACTCCAGCCCCTGTGCCGAGGAGTCCAGGAGTCTTCACCCAAAACAGAAGCTAGACATTCACAGCAATGGACTCTATCACGGGGCTCCCTACCTTGGCCGCCTCCCTCGTCCCACACTGACGAGCCCCTTGGTGTGAAGGGGCTCTGAAGGTCAAAGTCTGCTCAGGAGCTTCATGGACCTTAGCAACACTCAGCTCACACCTGCCGCACGCCAGTGTAATGGTCACCACCCTCCTCCAAGTTAAGGATTTTCATTTCCAACCTTGGGATTTCCAGCAGACCACAAAGGTATGAATGAGGGTGTTATCGGCAAGACTGGGATTGTTGCAGCCTTCTCTTCAGCCAGAACCAAGTGAGGAAGCGTCTGTGGGCAGAGATGAGGCGGTGACTTCACATCAGCTGCACCCACAGCTTCTCACGCGATTTTGCTCTCTGCTCCATCTGGAGTCCAACGGTACATCTCCTTGGGGAGAGATGAGGGCAGCATCCAGATCCAGCAACGAAGTGTGTCCTCGTCACTGTGACCCAGTTCACCCGACGGGAGCACCTGGTCCCAGCAGCATGGCACCCAGCCCTCCAACACAGTCTGATGCGCAGGAGCTCTGCGACCTCCATTTACTTTGAAGCGAGGTGTTTTCCCGTTTAAGAAGGAACTCCACCAGGCCTGGCAGCACACATCTGGGTCCCAGCCTGTGCGAAACAGGGAGACCTAGTCTCAATAAAACTTTAGAGAAACAAACAAACAAATGGCAAAGGGGGGGGGGGTGTTAAAGGTCCTCCTGGGACTTAGAGAGGGAATGCCAAGAATGCATAGCTTAATACCTGATGTATGCTAGGGACC